TGTCAACAGAGTACTGCACCTGCCACGAAATCTGCACTTCAAGGTCAGCAAAGTACTGCATCTGCCACGAAATCTGCACTTCAAGGTCAGCAAAGTACTGCACCTGCCACGAAATCTGCAGTTCACGGTCAACAAACTAGTGCACATCCACTGAGCCTATTTTGAACCCCCCGATTTCAGGGACCCCCTATTAAAAAAAATGCGACCGAGGTTTTTTTAATAGGGGGGGGGGGGGGCCGTGTTTATTATTAGGGGGACGGGATTAATTACACACATTGACAGACTTCCCCTGCACTTCTGACAAGCAGCCCTCCACGCACTTAGTCACAGGGTTTTCAGTTAACCATAATCTACGGTAAACTGGATGAAGGAACGGAAAGGCGGAAAATCAGCCCAGTTGAAGAGTTGCAGAACATTGTTTGTGCATGACTGCGATAGCGCGGCAGCGGAAAGCGGCTGAGGGAAACCTGTTTGTGGGAAATAGCATACAAAAAAAGTTAGCACCATGAATCAAACCGAGAATGGAACAGCGTGGTCAAAGGGTGAGCGCAGGTGCGTCGAAAGAGCGTCCTCTTTCGATATCCCAGTCTGGACCTGGAGCTTCGTTGGCTCACGCCAGGAACAGACCCGTGAGCCCCCATGCGTATCTTGGTGCAATTTCGCAAAAAAAGGGAACTGCTGGAAACGGAGGGTGACACACACTCTGACATTGGTTTTTCAGTTATGCAATTCCCACGTGGAAAGAAGGTGAGAGAACGGCAAGGTGGAAAGTCCGAAAAATTGCAGATTTTTGAACAAGTGGTTTATGCACATCTGCAGAACTCACGACGGCAGCTCACGGCGGCTCAGTGGCTGAAAGTGGTGGAGGGAAACCGGTTTGGGGGAAGTATCATGAAGGACCATGAATCAAAACGTGGAAAAGTAGGGTGGCAGCTTGTGGAGAACTCAGCAGGTACACAATGCGGTGTCCCGCATTGCTTCACGACCGATCTATCACTGTCTTCGTTGGGCAGTGAGTGATAGTGGTCCACTGCCCCCCTGCATGAGAACATAAAACCCCCAAAAAAAATCGGAAGGGGAGGACCCTTAGAAACAGGGCTTGACACACACACACACATGGCCGTTTTCGGCGCGTGTTTAGGTTCCCACGAAGGCTTTGATTTTCCGCAGAAAACGTGGAGTTGTGAAAGAAAGCCCAACAAACGACGAAAAGCGCAAGAAAGAAAGCGGGGGGTAGGGTGGGGGTGTGCGTCCATGTGTGTGTTTGAATACTTAGCCCTCTAGAGTTACCGACTACTTAGCGGAAACGAATTAAGTGCAATAGTTAGGGAGCGGGACTTTAAGTCTTACACCGCCCGGGTAGAGTAGACTAGAGCAGGGACAACGGAGGGAAAGGCACCGACACACAAGTGTGTCGAGTACCATTTCCCTGTGTTACCCTAATTAGGTACGGAGTAGAACTCGGCGGGGGGGGTGGTTGGGAACTAGAAAAAACGTGCCTGACCTTAGAAGGGCCATAGTGGAATGCATGAGGAGGTGAATTCGATCAACTCAAGTGGAAACGTTTTGTCCGTACAAGCCCGGCGGCTGTTGAAGCAGTCAATCCAGTAGTGAAAAGGGATCAGCTAAGAGAATCCAAGGAGTGGTGGAAAGGGAAAATCCATTACACGATTTCCAGCATGAATTCAGCGCCCCAGTGACGGGGATCACGCCCAGCACCCAAGTGGGACGACTGAGCGGTTCACACTCTGACATTGGTTTTCAGTTATGCAGTTCCCACGTGGAAAGAAGGTGAGAGAATGGCAAGGTGGAAAGTCCGAAAAATTGCAGATTTTTGAACAAATGGTTTATGCACATCTGCAGTCTGCAGAACTCACGACGGCAGCTCACGGCGGCTCAGTGGCAGAAAGTGGTGGAGGGAAACCGGTTTGGGGGAAGTATCATGAAGGACCATGAATCAAACCGTGGAAAAGTAGGGTGACAGCTTGTGGAGAACTCAGCAGGTACACAATGCGGCGTCCCACATTGCTTCACGACCGATCTATCACTGTCTTCGTTGGGCAGTGAGTGATAGTGGTCCACTGCCCCCCTGCATGAGAACATAAAACAAACAAAAACAAAACGGAAGGGGACGACCCTTAGAAACAGGGCTTGACACACACACACACACACACGGGCGCCCCCGCCTGGGACGGCAGCTCGTCCGCGCCCACCTCCTCAGCGCTCGTTTGAGGCGATGGGACGTGGAGGCCACCGCTAAGTAGGTTGGAGGCTGGAGGCCATCGCTATTAGGCTGGAAGCCATCAGAATGACCTTCCATTGAAATCCTACACAAGTGGGCGAAAAAAGCTGGGACCAGAGCTTCACCATGTAAAAGCACAATCCAAGATCATTAAAGCGTCTCCCCTTCATCTTGGTCCAAGGATCTTCAGTCAAGGCCAGACTCAAGTTCAGCAATGGAGAGCTGTAGGACTTGCTTCCCGTCTTGGTTAACCTCGGGTGTTGCGCGGAGTTGCGCGGAGTCCGGGTTCCCCAACGGCGAACAACGCATCTTTCAGGTCTGTGTGGTCTTTCCTACAGCTCTATCCTGTGACCATGATGGTTTGGATATGTTTGGAGATCATCTAACATATCTAACATGCAACAAACATGGGGTGTGTGGCCACGCTTTGCCAGTCGTTCATTGGTGGGAACGCTGGATCATCAAAATCATCAAAGGGTGAAGGGCTGCCACATTATTGGAGTCGGAGATGTGGAATAACGGACAAAGAACACCCGACGAAGACAAGGAAGCATACACACTGTTGCCTCAATTTTTGATTCTTGATGTTCAAAACTGATCAATGCATCCTCTGTAACTTTCTACTCCGGCTTTCAACTCGTCCCTCCTGCACTACCTTGGCTGGCTTGACGCCGGCTGGCCGTGCAGCCACGTCACCTTTTGGCTAGGGCTTTCATGAGCTTGAAGTGTGCTGGAGTAGCAGGACTCTTCCACGGCTTTTCATCGTCCTCTCCAATCGTTTGACTGGTGTGAGCTAACGAGAGTTGGTCCAAACATAGGCTGGTTCTAATCCTAAAAAAGGAACCAGTTCGCAGGAAATGACGGGTCGACAACTGTTTAGCCGTCACGACAGGGCATCGCCGTCAGTTTACATCTGAGTGTCCTGAGATTTAGACACTCCAAATTGACATTGGATATATGTCTAGTCAGAGGGAAGATGGATGTGCAAACCCCCAACGTCCACTGATTATTTCAGACCTTCTAGGACGATCTCCTTCTCGTTGATGAAACAAATGAGGGGAAAGGTGGATTGAACATCGAAGCCAGGTAAAAGGATAAGCTTCTTTGAACCTCTGAATGCAAACTACGTGGACTGAATTCAAAAGTTTCATTTCTGTACTATAGACATCTATAGACTATAGACATTGAAAGGCAAGTTATTGGCGTAACAAAGCCCCAGAGTCAATTCAACTCAAATATATATATATATATTATAATTACCGACCGTTCTGCTCTTTTCGCTAAATACTAAACCAAGCTTTTCGCCTGGGGCGAGCGTGTGACCTGCCTCATGGCCGTTCAGCGAATGAAGAACCTCCAGGGCAGCCAGCAAGTAGTGTGGGCCCTCGCGAATCAAGATGAAGTCTGCGCGCCCCAAATACCTGGTGCCATGAAATGAGCCAAAACCTTTTGGGCCGTTCAGGGGTGAGGCTCAATCACCATTGCAAGCTCAGCCTCAGCTAGTCCCGCTATACTCCACTCCGGTCGTTCGTGTGCCCACCTCCGCAGCTGTATCATGACCTTCTTGTCCTGCTTGCTTGCCTCAACTGGAAGCAGCGGCCAGGGTTTTTTCCAGGCCCCACAAACCGGCATCCCAAATCAACACCTTTCACCTTTCCAATTGATTCTGTGGGAAACTGCTTGGAGAAGCATCATTTCATCTTGCCAGATTTTTCATCCAGGCGGCTAAAGAGCCGATTGCACGGATTGCATCGCCCCGGTTGAGGCCATCACCTCCTCAAGCTGAAACGAAGCCGGTGAAAACCGATCCCCGGTGGTTTCAGAGGATGACAGCGGAGATGCCTGTCATGAGGCTGGAAGAAACCCTTGGATGTCATGTGGCAAACATCATGTCAAGCGCCAACTTTCAGCATACACACCTTAGCTTCTCAAGGAAGTTAGGATAGTTAGGGTGATTTCACCGGACTGCTCTTCTTGTCTACAGCGAAGCTCGAGGTCCTGCCAGCTCGTTGCATAAGTGCTCCATGAGCTCCTGGTAGGATCCAGGTGCAACAGCCAGGAAGCTCTCGCACAGGTCGAGAAAGGCTTTACCTCCCAGCTCGACATGTGGGTTAGATGTGTTAACTGTTAGCTCTAATAGAGGAAAACCAACCCTCACTGACTCACTGATCCACTGACTTGAGGACATCCCAAAATGGAAGGCAAAATCCATTCCTTTCCAACAAAAAGGCGCCGCTCGCTCGACAACGCGGTCAAAGCCGCGTTTTCGTGTCCCTCATGTCGATTTCGATGCCTTTTTGATGCAGCATGGACATCCAAATCCGAAAGGGCACCGGCTCCTTGCTGACAGGGCATTGATGACTCTGGATGAAGTCTGATCAATAGGACCAGCCTCCCTTGTTGGCAATGCTAGGAGGAAGATGATGTCTGGGTTGTTGTGACAGGTCTTGAGCAAAGAATGGGTGACAATTCGATAGTCTTCTTTCTGCCCGTACGATGCGGGAAGGAGACAAAGACTTCGAAGTCCCTTTTGCGGGGGGTCAAGTTGATTTGTGTGAAGTGCGTTGAAGTGAGTGACCCACAAACCTGAAGAGAAGTCCACAAATTTGCGTTGTCCACTACATCCTTGCACACACACTAACATCGTGCAAGACCTGTGCGGATCGCAAGACCTCAATCATGGACCAAGCTTTTCGCCTAGACTCGAGACCCCAAGAGGCGTGGCTTTCAAACAAACGACGCGTCACAATATACACGGCCAATAAGCATGTGCTCATCGCAAGGGACTTATATATGGGGACTTAAGGGGATTTAAGAGGAATTCCGCCATCTCAAGCGTCAAAGGCACCTTGCAATCATAGCAGTGTCTTAGACGAAAGGGCATGTCGAGCTGCCGTGTCCTTTATGCACCTACAACATGCTGGACCTCAAAAAAGCATTCTGACACCCAGTCCTGTTGTGGTTTCCCACCCAAATTACATCAAAATACCTCGAATCATTTGGAATCTGTCGGACTCCCCAAGTGTCCGGCGTTGACTCGGGTCCCCGTCCTTCCCTAAGGCATTGTTGAAGAAGATCTCAGCCGCCCAGGCAGCACGTTGCTGTGCCCACGCAGGCCTGACAGGTTGGAGATGGTTGGAGATCCAGGTTTCGGAGGTTCTCCGATTTCTTCAATTCAACAGCAGGCCCCACCAACAACCTGCTCCCCTTTGGACAATGCATCCGCCAACTCTATGGGGACGACATGGGGCAACGCAAGACCCTACAAACCTCTCTCACATTTGTACAGAAGTTTCGCCAAAAAAACGCATCCTTCACCTCCAAAGCTCCAAATTCTCGAGTATCTTCGGGATCACTTTGTCCTCGATGGATGACACCGATTCGGCGCAGCGCCGCAAAACCTCCAAGATGAGACTCACTGCCTCCTGGAGAAGCGAAGCGGAGAGACAATATCTTCCCGTGCATCGAACAAGTTGTTTCTTCGAACATAGAAAAAACTATAGTAAAACTGCAGGCGAAGGACTTCTCCAGGAGGTTGGTAGAAACATGTTACACTATACTTGGAGATACTTGGAGCAGTATGTTTGTGTTTCTTCCTGGGGGATCGTCATGGACCCTCAAGAGGTAACGAGCCTTCCCCGGTTATCGTCCACATGACTCCAAATGAGTGATGCTCAGGAAAAGCAAAGCAAGGGGGCTTTGAGCATTTTTCAGTACAGATTGTGGCAAGCTGGCTTGTTGCAAATAAGTTGAGTTCCGGAAAATTTGTTCTTGCTCACTTGAGTGTCCAGTTTCTACATGATCTCTCCCTCTCTCTCTCTCTCAATCGCCTAAGAAGGGAAACCAAGTCTCATTATGTCAATTGTTCCTTGGAAGGGCCCTTGCTGTGGGCTGAATACAAATCGAATTGGCTCCAATTACATCAATTACTTTCAAACTCAAACGGCACCGTCGCACAGTAAGGCTGGTTGCACCCCTCTCGGCTACTACTCAGGCAATGAAGCATCATCCGGTTACAAGGCTTCCTAGCCCAATGGGCCCAGTGGGTTCTGGGTTCTTACACCCAATCAATGTCCGATTCCCTCATGCCGTCCTTCCATTCCGGTGTCGTGGTATCCTCAACTTGATTCGATCCATGGAAGTAATGGTCCATGATGCAGTCCTTGGTCACTGGGCAGATGTACGTGCCCGCATTCCTCCCGCACTAAACCAGGGCAGCTAGTTCTCCAGCTTTTGCCCAGGCAGCTGTTTCTTTTGACAGGCTGAGAGGAGCCGATTGAACAAGGGGCTCTTTCGTCTCTTCCCTCGTTTCACGAGCGTGAGGGAATCCTTGCACGCTTCAATAGACCCCTTGACTTGTAGGTTCCTTGTTTCTGTTCATGAACCTCCAACGATCGTTTCCTGTGCACTGCAAGCATCCACCACTGAACTCACTGCGAAGTTGCCTTCCTTGGCTTCACAATCTTCGAATTCAGCAATGGATATCGCGAGCACATGACACTCCAAAGAGCAAACCATATAATAGGCATCTATAGAGAAGTGATTGAGTGCACACCTGGATTTGGGCACGCCCATAACATCTCAAAGCTCTGAAAACTTCTGCAAAGCATCGATTTGCCTGAAGGCGTCCTGAGCTTGGCAGGCTGAAAACATGGAGAAAACATGAAGAAAACCAGTTCGTTCACGAGGCACAACCCTAGCCAACGCATTGCGCGAGGCTCTTCGGAACTGGAAAACACACAAACATCTAGACCCGAGCCTGCTATGAACACATCTATAAAAGATTAGACAAGTATGTCTGCATCCAGGACAATTGCCAAAATCTACGCGGCAAGTCCAAGCAAGTCTCTATCTATTGTCCCGACTCAAGACACTGGGCATCTCCTAGATACTGTTCAAGGGCCGGTGGCCTCGGGGGTTTTCACTGTCTGGAGTCTAGTATCAAAGTATCAACCCTTCAAGGTCGTTGTTGTCTCCAAAGCAGGAGCTCTGTGAGTTTGATTGTGCGAGGGAAGATGTCTTGGCCTGGAATGACTGGTTTGCAGCAACATTCCTTACATCACTACAGCTGAAGATGTTCCAATCATCAAGCTGAAAAATTCATAACACCCTTAGTAACTTAGCATTCATTTGTTCACCACTTGGATAAGTGCTAATGCCAGGGAATGTCAGGGACACACCTTATTCACTTGCTCATGAGGAAAACCACCCCTGGCCGCCGCCAGGCCTCAATCTCGCCTCCAACCAATGCCAAGCGTCCATGCACTGGCTCTTGTCTTCCGGTGTGCCCACCAGTAAGCCGCCCATCATCCTGAAGCCAGCCGTGCACTGCCTACTGACCGTCGAACGGGGCAAGAAAACATCGAACGGGACCAAGATGTAGGGGGGAAAGTTCCTGAGAGAACAAAAAACATTAGATTCTTTTTTCCCGAATGCGTAGCGAAGGGTTCTCGTTTAACTCTTGGGGTCTGGGGGTAGAGCCTTGTTCGTGACCCGTTGTTTCTAAGTTCGCAACCGTCCGCAACCGTTCGCAGCCGTCGGCAACCGTTCGCAGGTGTTCGCAGTAGAGCGCTAAGGCGCTGCCATTGGGGGAAGCTTTTGGAGAGGGTTTCGGATGGAAACGTGACGTGTCAGATTCGTGTGAACTTGAGATAGGAGGGGGTGAACGAAAGATAGGATCGCAAGGGGGGAGTCCAAGTCTCGAAGGCACGAGCGCTTTCTACTGAATTCGGCATTGTGCGCGGTTTGGCGGTGGCTGATGTCAACCTGTGACTCTGCATGCGATTCCCAAAGAAACAGACCATGTTCGAGTTCGAATCGGAGGCTGGAGGTCATACCCAAACAAATCCTAAAGAAGTGAAGCCCTCAACCCCAGCAAGACAAGCCCAAAGAAATCCCAAAGTTGGGCTTACGCCCAAACCCAAGCAAAACAAAGCCAAAGAAACCCTAGAGAAGCCAAGCCTCAGCCAAGCCTAAAAGAACCCGAAAGAAGTCAGCCCTGAACAGCCCGCAACACCCCACCCAAACCAGCCCAAAGAAACCCTAAAGAAGTGAAGCGCTAAGCAGAAGCCATAAAGAAGTGAGACCCACAAAATCCCGCAAACCCAGCGAACCCCAAGCAAGACAAGCTCTAATAAATCCCATAAATCCCAAGAAGTGAAGCCCTACGCCAAAGAAAACCTGAAGAATTCAAGCCCTCGGCCAAGCCTAAAGGAACCCGAAAAAAGTCAGAAAGAAGAGACGGCCATGATGTGATAGAAGCGAACCAGCCATACCCAAACAAATCCTATGGAAGTGAAGCACTGAAGCCCTCAGAGACCCTAATGAAGTAAACCCCGCAAGCCAAACCCAAAGAAACCCTAAAGAAGTCATGAGAGATGTGAAGTTCGCAAGCCAAAGCCAAAGAAACCCTAAAGACTAAAGAAGCGAAGCCCTGAGCCAAGCCCAAAGAAACCCTAAAGACTAAAGAAGCCAAGCCCAAAGAAACCCTAAAGACTAAAGAAGCGAAGCCCTAAGCCAAGCCGAGCAAAGTTCGGACGCCAAACCCAAAGACACGATAAAGACGCGATAAAGACTAAAGACATGAAGCCCTAGAAGCCCAACCAAAAGAAACGCCAGAGAAGTGAAGCCCTAAGCCCACGAGCCAAAGAAACCCTGAAGAAGTGAAGCGCGAAGCTAAGCATGAAGAAACCCTAACGAAGTGAGACCGCAAACCGTACACAGAATGTGATCATGCATATGGTGATGAGCTTGCAGCCCAAAATCCGTCCAGGATCGAAGACTTGAAGTGGCCCATCGTTGAGGGATGGCCACATAGTCAAGACGTGCAGTGGCTCCATTTGGATGAACAAAGTGCTGGTAGGTCCATGGTGGACACGAGTGAAGGTGGCCGGCAAACACAATCCCTCACGCAAAAGATATACTCAATGCCACCAGCAAAGGTCTCTTCCGCAGCCCCATGGTCCCCAATGGCCACTGAACAAATGCTGTCGACCCTCAAGTTGAAGTCTCCCGTGAGAATCATTTTTTTGCCGTGGAGGTGAGGGAAATGGCCTGCTTGAAGGCCCACCAAAAAGGTCACAATCTCTTCCTCGGAGCGGCCACTAGGGGGAACGCGCAAGTTGGCAATGAGGATGTCCACAGAGCCGGTCCATTGCCGCGTGAGCAGGAACTTGGGCGAGCTTGCAGTCACTGCCACTGTCCATGTCTGCCGCCTCGTTGCCTGGGTTGCCAGTGTGCGCTTTGGTGTAATGAGGAATCACCGTGACCCCATGTGCCACTTGTACCGTCTGCATCAAAGCCCTCGCTTTCAGGCAAATTGGGTGTAGGCTCCAAACATCGTCTCTGTCCCCATACCCTCCTAGCCGTCCTCAGCAAGTCGTGGACTCAACTTAAGAGCAAGGATGTGCGCCGCAACCTCGGCATGGTAAGCATCTGGTGCCTCATGGAAGCTATGTTGAAGGGCTCCTCCCCATTGCCAGTCATCACCTCTGGCCCAAAGTGTCACAGCAGCGCCGGTGTCCACGCCATCACTCGAGCCGTCCAAATGGAACCAAAGCTCCTCAAGTTCCTGGAGCTGCCAATGTTCAAGCTGCAACCATGGCTTGCTGTTCTGGCGCCACCTCAATTGCTCGTTGAAGAAGGGTGAACCAGATGAGTATTGAACCAATCCAGTGCATCACAGGCCTCACTGAAATCAATGCCTTTCTTCTGCACCTGGTGATTTCTGCGGAGATGACGAGGATCCTAGCGACTCAGAGAGACAAAGTGCAGGGACTTCAACAACCGACTCATCAGAACTGTCAGAGGCAACAGGCAGGAAGTTTGCCTCCTTATCATCAGCATAGTCATCCCACTCCCTTGCCTCAAGCCAGACACGCCTCTCCTGGTAAGTGGCCGCCTTCAAGGATCGACGCAAGCTCTTGGCAAAGAAGTTGCCCCGCATTGAGTTGGTCAAATGTTCCACCAACCGTTCAGTGTGCTCATTCTGGATGGTGTAGTCCACAATGATTTTGGAGATCCCATGATTCTCCTGCGCCTCCACCAACTCATCAAAACGCATCCTTTTTACCATTGCCAGGGGGCGGAAGCTTCACAGCTGCTGCTTGGGCAAATGACCCTCCTTTCTCACTTCCTTTTCGGTTCAAGGCAGAGTGCACCTGCAAGAGAGAGGGGCTTTCATTAGAAGAGGGATCGCTAGAGCGCTCATCCTCTGCGTCACCTCGTCCAACAATGGTGTGTGACCCTACCAGCGCAGCAAACCTGGATTTCGTGTCCACCCACAATGATCCTCCTTGCAAGACCACACATGTCACTCGCGCACAGACTTCAGCCAAACCAACCGCGTGAAGCAAAAAAGCTCTGGTGAGGTCAGCTGGCACTCGTTGCACATGCCAAACATGTCTCAGCACAGGCCGCCCGTTCTCATGATCGGTCCAAGTCACGTCAACCCCGTCCCCGGTCTCTGGGGGTTCTTTCACGAACATGGGCTTCACGCTTAATGCCTAATTGGCTGCCTCTCTGCGTCAGACTGGGGCCAGCGGCAGGAGCATTGAGAGGGTGCCCTGATTGAGCCTTATGTTGACACTGCCCAGGTTTCTTCCAACAACGGTCAGGATCAGTATAAGTATGTAGTCACCTTCTTCCACAATGAAGTACTCATGCTCTACCTCTTTCCATTGACAAAAAGTCTTGGGTCTTCAGGATTCTCCATGAGTCTTTCTTCAGGGATCCATTGCTCAACATAGAACGTCTTTCGTGTCTGCCGGTGCATCACAAGGAGCCTGACATAAGCAGCAATTTCTTTAAAACGTCGTCCATTGTCAAACTCCACTAGCAACGAAACTCCTCCATTCGGGTTGATGAAGCGCACATAAAAGACAGTCACAAAGCGCCGCAACAGAACGGATGATCTGTAGGCTATGTTGACTTGCTCAATCTTCCAGCGCGGGTTGGGCTTCAGAAAATTCCATCGATTCTTGACCCATGACATCAACCAGTTGTAGATGTGGTAGAGCCAAAGATTGGCGTAGAGTCTTGTGAAAGAAGATCGAACATTCAAGCCCTGCGGCGTAGGGGGAACCAGCACAGCTCTGCCTCCGACAGCAGAATGCTCTGCATGGAAACGAGGTGGGAGGCCAAGAAGACTGTAGGCCAGGTCCGTCTCTGCAATGCCTGCCGCGAAAGGCCAAGTCCACCTGTTCCCACAAAACCAACACCATGAGGACATCACCTGATTGAAATTTGAAATTGCACAGGGAAAAAAAGGGTCCTGCGAAACTCCATTCCTCGAGATCCGAATGCGCTCAGGTCTTGCTCTCACCAACATGGGTACGATTGCCAGAATGTCGGCAAAGGGCAAGAGTTGAGGGACAACTCTAGTTTGCAGGAAAGAAGCGCAAGACCACCTGAGTTGAAAAATCCACTCCACCACAATGGTGGGGTGTGTGGGAGCCACCGTGATGGCCGTGTGGTGCACCAAGACGATCAGGAATCTTTCGAAGGGATCAAACATGGAGGCAGTCAAACGAATCTGTGAGAAGTCTCAAACGTCTTGAGAAAGGGCCATCTTTGCTCCACCATCTGTGTCAAAGGCCTCCCCGTCCAAGGTTGTATCGCAAAACCGTCCTCATTCTCGATCCCCATGCCAAAGAAGAAGACAATCTTGTGAAATTGAGGGAATCTCACAAGAAGCCCATCAAACCTGTCATTGATTTCCCCTCTCGTGACAGCATGGTCAATGATGTTGTGTCTCTGTTCCTGCCAATTGTCCCCGGGATCATCCCGCTGTCCAGCATCGTAAAGGGCCACGACATCAGAATCTTCACATTCTCCACCATCCACCTCAGTAGCTTGCCCACTGAAGCATGAAGGTCCTTCCGTAAGCTGAACTTCAAGTTGTGCATGCCCTTGTAGCAAACAGTTTGGCCGGCCAGAAAGCTGCGTCCAAGGAACAAATGCGTGAGATTCCTGGCGCATTACAAACCCCCCCAAACACCTGTCACGATAAGAACAGCGTCACATTGCTCTTCTGTTCTTACAACAATTTCCTTTTGACGAGTGGAGGAGAATGAACCTCTCACATAACGCAGCAAAACATGTATCTGATGCCACACCGCCCAACAGAAGACAGAGAGTCCTGCATCAAAGAGTAGGATTCATCGTCAAGCCGATCATCTGGCTCGTCAAGAACTCCCCGTTGAACACATCGATGATGAAGATGCATTCATCGTCAAGCCGATCATCTGGCTCGTCAAGAACTCCCCGTTGAACACATCGATGATGAAGATGCATCAATGCCTGGCCCCCCAT